TATCGTTGAGGTCTATTGTCATAATAGGCCATTTCTTTTTTTGATAATAGTTGGCAGTTATACTTCTGACACATTGTTGTAAGCAGTTATACTTTTGGTACATTGTTGTAATCAAAACAACAGAAAATCAGACAAAAGTATCACTAAAGTTAAGCAGTAATTTGCAGAAGTTAGTGCAAATACCTCAATTTTTTAATCCAAAAATTACTATATATTCTTATATTTCAGCCATAACTTTTTGACTAATTTCAGATGCAAAAATCTCTCTTATGATGACATAAAACTATCAGCAAGTATTGTAATCATCTATCACAATGAAGCACTGTCAGTGCTAATTCGAATGATCAACAGTATCCTGGATCGTACACCATCTGAATATCTGAAAGAAATTGTACTCTTTGACGATTACAGCCACGATGATTGTATTATTCGAGAAAAATTACTCGAATACGGTTTGGTGGAAAAATGGCCATTGAATAAAATTATCAATGAACGAAGTGAAAAACGTAACGGGTTAATACGAGCAAGAGTATGACCTTAGAATTTAGTTCTGTTCTAATAAATTTCTAAAAACAAAAAAAATACTATGCTTACATTTGAGGCTTTCTTTTTTTATACATTATTTTTTTGTTAAACCAAATTTAGCTGCATCAATTTATGCAGAAAATTTGGCTTGAAAAAGTAAATGTTGGAAAATTTTGTTGGTAAAGCCAATTGATTAAGAGCAATAAAAGCTTTCGGTAGAGTATACGATTATTGTTGGTCAAACGGTAAACCGTTTTTTTTTCTTAGCTTTTTATTTGTTGCTTTGAAGTTTAGACATAAAATTTTGTTTGGTTTTTTTTTTTCACGATACAGTTATAGATGGCAGCTGCAGATTTGGCATCTGGTGATGTACTAATATTTTTGGATAGTCATTGTGAAGTTACAGAACGATGGATTGAACCGTTACTGAAGACAATTCAGGAAGATCGTAAACGGTTATTGCAACTATGTTTTGTTTTACTCAATTTTTTTTAAACTTCAAAGACTATGTTCTAAGATTATTGAAAGAACAAAGGAAAAACAAGGGGAGAACCTAAAAAAAAAGATGCTAAAGAGCAAAGAAGCACCCCTATCAGTGTTGCTTATAGATTCCATTATATTCCACAAATACACAGTGTCAATTTAATATTTGATGATTGCTGATGAAGCCTTTAGATGATGTGTTTTTGGCAACAATTCACTGAAACTCTCTGTTTTTTCTTCTGGCTTGATCAAAATGTCACTTTTTTCCGCTGTTTTATATTGCTCTTTTGTTTTCAGGGTAGTATTGCCGGTAATTGACCTTATAAATCCGATGAAGTTTGATTATTCGCAAGCAATGATTGCAAAAATGAGTTTTGACTGGCGATTAAGTTTTAATTGGGTTTACTTCCCATGGGAATATTTTGATATACCCGAGCATAACTATCAACCATTCAGGCAAGTTGTATTTATAAGTTGTTATAAGAAATGAGATAAAAAAGAAACGCTTTTTTTTTTTTTTTTGGAGTTATAAAGTACAGTTAAAATTATGAAGTCTTTTAAAAAACAATGTAATGTTTAGTATTAAAGCCAAAAAAAAAGAAGAAGTTGAATAGCTTTTTTTTTTCTTGCAGATCTACTTAACCCTTAATAAGTTGGTAGGTCAAAGGTGTTTCAGTTAGCATCAACTGATACCTTTGTTAAATCTTTCAGGGTTGAAAAATAATTCAAAAAGTGTTAATGCTATTTTTAATTGGATCAGTAAATCAAAAAAAAAAAAAAAAAAAAAAA